TTACCTCCAACTCATGTTCAATTGAAACATTTGAAAATCCCTGGATTGGTCAGATCTGAGGCTTTGGGATCTGTGTGTGTGTGTGAACGTGTGATAAGCAATTATAATCCTGTCAGTAACTGTGTGTGCGTGTGCGTGCGTGTGTGTGTGTGTGTGTGTGTGTGTGTGTGTGTGTGTGTGTGTGTGTGTGTGTGTGTGTGTGTGCGTGCGTGCTTGTGTAAACAGAATGTGGGAGCTGACCAGGATGTTGCTACAGGGAACAAACAGCTTCTATCTAGAGAATCCCACAGATTACTGTACAAAACAAATCACATTTTATTCATCACATGCTTCGTAACCAACAGGTGTAGACCAACAATGAAATGCTTACAGGAAGTGTGTGTGTGTGTGTGTGTGTGTTTGTGCATGTGTGCATGTGTGTCTGAGCATCCCAGAGTTATCTGTTCAGTCAAGCTTAGACGGAGAGAAGGGGAGGGAGAGGGAAGGCAATGGAGAAAGATACCGAGAGAGAGAGATATGGATAGAGGGAGAGAGAGAGATATGGATAGAGGGAGAGAGAGAGATATGGATAGAGGGAGAGAGATAAAGCAGAAGAGCTATGCATAGATAGAGTAAAGTTACGGAGGAAAAACCTACAGGGAAAGGTGTGGGGAGGTATTCTGTGTGAGGTAGTAGGAGAGAGAGAACTGGGATACAGAGAGGGAGTATATGTGAGGGTTGTGCCTCTACATCTCTGTGCAGTTTGGCCTGGATATACTACTAATGCATCATTTGTTTTTTCTATGGCATCCTTTATTCATCAGTCAACTCTGATTATCAACACCTCCCCCCACACACACAGTTACCCAATACATCCCACTTAACTAAATGCAGAGAAATTCAGATGATTAGTTCTAGTGTTGTTTTGACATTAATGTCTGTTTTTAAACCCTCCTCCATTCAACCTTCCTCCTCATAGTCTCTCTCTCTCTCGCTCTCTCCATTTCCTTTCATATTTTCTTGCGCAACTAGTTTTTTTTATATTTGAAATTATTTATTACCCCCCCTTTTTGAAATTATTTCTCACCCCCCCCCCCCCCCCCCCCCCCCCCCCCCCCTTCTACTGATACCTCGAAACCAGGACAGCCCAGAAGAAAAGGGGTTAACACGCACCCTGCTTTCTGATTGGCTGTCAGTCCGGCGGTCTGAGCCACTCTACAGAGAGAGGTAACTAGGCAACTTCAGCAGCAGCCGAACGGAGGAAAGGGGAGAGAGAAAGAAGGAGTGAAAGAAGGTGGGCGAGAAGAACGGGAAATACGCGCTGAAATCCTGACACAGATTTTTTTCACCGGAGAAGTGGAAGGATGTAGCCCCGGAGTCAGTCACTCTGCCTGGTATAGGAAACTGGATTACCGCAGTTTCTGAAACCTTGTTTGTGGATGTTGTCAATAACTGGGAATAACGGGGATGGTTGTTGGATCGTAATCTCGCAGCAGAATGGGGACTAACTGTAGCCTGCCTACTCAATCTCGGACCGGCAGTTAGAAGGTAAACCAGTGATGAAAAGGCATTTGGTCGACATGAACGCTTTAGTTTTACGCAGTAGAAGTAGGCCTATCGCTGCAGAATGTTACGACTAGCCATAACTGTTCTGATTTCAGATTCAGGCAGTAAATTGAGTTATGGCTAGTCACGATGGTACATGAAAGGTGTTTGTGGATCGGATGTTTACCGGACAGACAGCCTGTAGAATCATGTTTTTTAACAATCACAGCAGGGCACATCTCCAATACACTGCTGGTGCATCGGCGTTTAATGGGTGGAAAAAGAAAGAATACAAGTAGGCTATAAGCTTTTGCAGTGTGTAGCAATTACTTTCTCGATGTGCGTGTGCGTGTGACAGAAAGGGAGAGGGAGAGAGCAGTAGGGGTTTGCTGCATCGACATCTTTCTGTGAGCGTGTGTGCGTGCATACGTGAGTGTGTGCGTCCGAGTGTATGTGTGCACGTGTGTGCGCATACCCCTTGTTTTTCTTAAAAGATGACGATTTTTTACCCCACTATATTATCAGATAGAGCCAAATCGTCTAGAGTTCCATATTAAGACAGTCAGCGCTAGGCGGTCGGGTTACTAAGTGCTTGTGTTCTACCAGGTGTTCTCCTGCTCCACGTTACCCACTAGGCACACACTGGTAGAATGAACTTTTTTTCCACGTCATTTCAATGAAATTATGTTGAACCAATGTAGAATAGAAGTTGAATTGACATCTGTGCCCAGTGGGTAGGGAACCCCCCTCTCTCCTTGCTCTCACTCCCCCCCCCCCCCCCCCCCCCCTTCTCTCTGTATCTCTGGCTATTGAACAACCTCTGTGCTGGATTCTGTCATGAGAAGAATGAGTTGAAGTGTAACTGAGGCTGTTCTGATATTGATCAGCTACTGGAGGAGAAATGTAATGAATACTACTCTGTCAGGGGAGAGAGAGGGAGAGAGGGTTGGATGGAGAGAGATGGAGATGGAGAGAGAGAGGGGAGGCTAGGGAGAGAGAAAGATAGGGGAGGAGGGAGAGGGACAGAGAGGGAGATGGAGAGAGAGGGGAGGCTTGGAGGGAAAGAGAGGGAGAGCCTGTGAAAGGGCACCCCAGGCGGTCTGTGCGTGGCTCCGCTGCAGCTGAAAGCCGCATTAATCACAGAGCGGCTCCACACACACACACACACACACACACACACACACACACACTAGAGCTATAGCTATTCCTCAGTCTTGCTCTAGCGCTTCACAGAATCTGGCCACTTACTCTTCACCCATGCAGGCGACTAGCTGCATCTATTCCTGTTCAGTCCACTGTGTGTGTGTGTGTGTGCTTGTTTGTGTGTGTCTGTCTGTGTGTGTGTGTGTGCATGCATGCTTGTATGTTTGGGAGAATGAGAGGTGTGCAGTGCAGGACTGCACGTTGTGTCCATGTCGCAACTCCTCATTTGGGGAATGTGGTGACTGGTGAGTGTGTATAGAGGGTGTGTAATCGGGGAACAATTACAGCGGGTCTGTGGCTGTCTTTACCCTGTTGGCAGGTCTAAGGAATGGACCCTAAGTGGGGAATATAGACCCTGGTTTCATTGTGGGAAAACATTCTTTCAGGTTTTACACTTGTCACATTTTCATTTTTTTCCAGCGTTCCATCGTGGAGGATTCAGCACTAGCTAGCTATTAGTGAAGTGTTGTTTGTCTGTGTGTGTGTGTTTGTATGTGTGCGTGTCTGCAGATGTTTCAGTCCTTCCACTTGCCTCCTCACTTCTCAGATCCTACTTGGATCGGCCAGACTGGGATTTGAACCAGAGACCCTCCAACTACTGGTCCGGCTCTCTCCTCTTTGTGTGTCTGTGTGTGTGCTTGTGCATGTGAGGCCTGTTACTACAGCCTTCATTGGCCCAGCAGGCAGCTTCAGGTCACCATAGAAACCCAGAGAGCATTGTGGTAGAAAGCCTCAAAGGAAAAACAAATTTGGCTCGCTCTCACTTTTTCTCTTCTTTCTTTCTTTCTTTCTTTCTTTCTTTCTTTCTTTCTTTCTTTCTTTCTTTCTTTCTTTCTTTCTTTCTTTCTTTCTTTCTTTCTTTCTTTCTTTCTTTCTTTCTTTCTTTCTTTCTTTCTTTCTCTCTCTCTCTCTTTCTTACGCTCCACCCCCCCTCCCCCCTCTCTGAGTCTTTCTCCACTTGTGATTCATTGTAATGTATTCAGAAGCAGTGTGAGGCCTTCAGGGGACTTGTTGTTTGTCTATAAAGGACATTCTGTCTGTACAGTTCTCCCATAGAGCTGAGGTCTGTACAGTTCTCCCAAAGAGCTGAGGTCTGTACAGTTCTCCCATATAGCTGAGGTCTGTACAGTTCTCCCATAGAGCTGAGGTCTGTACAGTTCTCCCATAGGGCTGAGGTCTGTACAGTTCTCCCATAGAGCTGAGGTCTGTACAGTTCTCCCATAGAGCTGAGGTCTGTACAGTTCTCCCATAGGGCTGAGGTCTGTACAGTTCTCCCATATAGCTGAGTTCTAAAAAGAACACACACAGAACTCTGCTTTATGCTTTTACCTCAATCATGGATTGACTTCAATGGAGAGAAACTGTATCAGTGTTCTAGTGTCTAGTGTAGGAGAATGAGAGAAAGTAAGGAATGGGAAGGAAGGTAGCAAGGAGATGAAAGAAAAGAAATAGGCAGGCAATAGAGGGAGGGAGGAAGGGAGGAGGTGATGGAGGAGGTGATGGAGGAGGAAGAGAGGAGGTGATGGAGGAGGAAGAGAGGAGGTGGTGGAGGAGGTGATGGAGGAGGAAGGGAGGAGGTGATGGAGGAGGAAGGGAGGAGGTGATGGAGGAGGTGATGGAGGAGGAAGGGAGGAGGTGATGGAGGAGGAAGGGAGGAGGTGATGGAGGAGGAAGGGAGGAGGTGATGGAGGAGGGTGATGGAGGAGGAAGGGAGGAGGTGATGAGGAGGAAGGGAGGAGGTGATGGAGGAGGAAGGGAGGAGGTGATGGAGGAAGGGAGGAGGTGATGGAGGAGGAAGAGAGGAGGTGGTGGAGGAGGAAGGGAGGAGGTGATGGAGGAGGAAGGGAGGAGGTGATGGAGGAGGTGATGGAGGAGGAAGGGAGGAGGTGATGAGGAGGAAGGGAGGAGGTGATGGAGGAGGAAGGGAGGAGGTGATGGAGGAGGAAGAGAGGATGTGGTGGAGGAGGAAGAGAGGAGGTGGTGGAGGAGGAAGGGAGGAGGTGATGGAGGAGGAAGGGAGGAGGTGATGGAGGAGGAAGAGAGGAGGTGGTGGAGGAGGAAGGGAGGAGGTGATGGAGGAGGAAGAGAGGAGGTGATGAGGAGGAAGGGAGGAGGTGATGGAGGAGGAAGGGAGGAGGTGATGGAGGAGGAAGGGAGGAGGTGATGGAGGAGGTGATGGAGGAGGAAGGGAGGAGGTGATGGAGGAGGAAGGGAGTAGGTGATGGAGGTGGAGGAGGAAGGGAGGAGGTGATGGAGGAGGAAGGGAGGAGGTGATGAGGAGGAATGGAGGAGGTGATGGAGGAGGAAGGGAGGAGGTGATGGAGGAGGAAGGGAGGAGAGGATGCAGGAGGAAGGGAGGAGGTGATGGAGGAGGAAGGGAGGAGATGATGGAGGAGGAAGGGAGGAGGTGATGGAAGAGGAAGGGAATTGACTGGTTCTTGGCTGGATGTCCTTCCCATTGATCCTGGCTTGTGTGTGTTTTAGTGTGTGTGTTTTTGTGTTTTTGTTTAAGTGTTTGTGTTTTAGTGTGTGTGTTTTAGTGTTTGTGTTCTAGTTTTCATGTTTTAGTGTTTGTGTTTTAGTGTGTGTTTTAGTGTTCGTGTTTTAGGGTTATGGTTTAGGTGTTGAGTTTTAGGTGTGTGTGTTTTAGTGTTCGTGTTTTTAGAGTGTGTGTTTTAGTGTCGGTGTTTTAGGTTCGTGTTTTAGTGGTGTGTGTTTAGTGTGTGGTTGTTAGTGTGTGTGTTTTAGTGTTGTGTTTAGTGTTTGTTTTAGTGTGGTGTTTTAGTGTTGTGTTTTAGTGGTTGTGTTAGTGGTGTTGTTTAGGTGTGGGTGTTTAGTGTGTGTGTTTTAGTGTTAGTGTTTTTGTGTGTGTGTTTTAGTGTTCGTGTGTTTAGTGTTCGTGTTTTAGTGTGTGTGTTTTAGTGTGTGTGTTTTAGTGTTGTGTTTTAGTGTTCGTGTTTTAGTGTGTGTGTTTTAGTGTTCGTGTTTTAGTGTTCGTGTTTTAGTGTGTGTGTTTTAGTGTGTGTGTTTAGTGTTCGTGTTTTAGTGTTCGTGTTTTAGTGTGTGTGTTTTAGTGTTCGTGTTTTAGTGTGTGTGTTTTAGTGTTCGTGTTTTAGTGTGTTTGTTTGAGTTTGTGTGTGTTTTAGGGGACTGGTATCAGTGATACAAAAATAATAATAAAAACATGTTTTATTGTCACATACTGTAACTGTGAATGTGTTGTTTTACAGCAGGGATCATCAACTAGATTCAGCCGTGGGCCGATTCTTTCTTGAGCGTATAGTTGGGGGCCAGAACATAATTAAAAATAATTTGTAGAGGTCAAATTGACCGCAAGAAGCCCAAACAGATATAATATTTGACTAAAACATAATAATTTAAAAACGTGCTTACATTTGTATACGATCACTTGTCTCTATTATGCGTGGGAATACTTGGGAACAGATTTCCAATATTAAAATCACTTTCTGGTGTTTTTACAGTCTTTTTGTCCAACAATAAAAATAAAAAATAAATTAAAAACTTGGGGGCCAAATAAAACCAATTTGGCCCGCGGGCCGCTAGTTGGGGAACCCTGTTTTACAGGGTCAGCTATAGTAGTGCAGTGCCCCTGGAGCAAATTAGGGTTTTTTCACCTTGTCGGTTTTTCACGTTATCTAGCTTTCACCTCATCTAGCTATAGACAGGTGAGTATAGTGCAGGGTTGGCCAACCCTCTTCATGGAGAGGTAAGGGATGTGCAGGTTATTGCTTCAGCCCTGAACTAACACATCTGATTCAGCTATTGAGCTGTTCATCAGGACATTGATTAGTCAAATCAGGTGTGCTGGAGCAGGGCTAGAGCAAAAGCCTGCCCACTCTCCAGGAGGAGGGTTGGCCACCCCTGGGCTAACGTTAGACAAAACCAAAGAGACAGTGTAGTCGTGGCAGGGGAGAGAGGGTGGGAGAGAGACAGAGAGAGAGAAAGGGAGTAGAGCAGGATATCCAGAGTCTGCTAATCTCACTAAATTCTAATCCATAATCAGATTAAACACTCACAATCTGTCTGTTGCACAGGATTACTGTCTGGACCCGCAACAGCAGCACACATCCTCTCCCTCTTCATTCTTCTCTCTCCATCCCTGCCTCTTCATCCCTCTCTCTCTCCATCCCTCTCTCTCCATCCCTCTCTCTCCCAGCCTCTCTATCCCTCTCCATACCTTCCTCTCCATCTCTCTCCATCCTTCTCTCTCCATCCCTTCATCTCCATCCCTCTCTCTCCCAGCCTCTCCATCCCTCTCTCTTCCAGCCTCTCCATCCCTCTCCATCCCTTTCTCTCCATCTACCTCCATCCCTCAAACCCTCAAACCCTCCAAGACACCACTGGACAATATCACTGGACTTCCTTAACCCTATAACACACACACACACACACACACACACACACACACACACACACACACACACACACACACACACACACACACACACACACACACACACACACACACACACACACACACACACACACACACACTGTGCAGGGACTCTTAACTTGTCGCATGCTTGAGCTGAGCCTCAGCCACCTTCCTCCTGCAATTTTCAAATTCATGCTCTTAGCCGCAATTACTCTAACAGGGTGTGTCTGTGTGTATAATGGCTATCAGATTTAATGCACATATCATTTCAATGATTTTCTAAAACGACACTTTACTAAATAATGTTCTTTGTTGTTCGATTGTCTGTGTGGAATCAAATTGTATGATAGATTGTTTGCTATGCTGAAGTTTGGGTAAGTGTCTGTTAAGGCTGGGCGGTATACCGTATTTACTATATACCGGTATTGATGGACCGGTTTGGGTTTTTACTTTATCTCCTATAAAGGTATTTGAATGTTTGGTTTATTAAATGTGATATACCGTGTGTAACTTTTCAATTTTTATTGTTTACACCGCTACTTGAGTCATCTCTCACTGCTCTCTCCATGCTGCTTTCCTCACAGACCAAGCACCACCCCGTCACTCGAGAAGCGCGTTTGTTGTTGCTTGACCACGAGACACCTGCATTCAGTCTGCATGATCAATGCAGCACATGCAACAATGTTGATGACAACAATGTTGTTTCCACTTTGCTTCTTAATATAAATCCACAAGCGTTCTGTTATTACACTATTAGTTTGTGTTTCTTACATCTGCAAACAGCTAGTTTGTCTTTTCTTAGCAGGTTTTAGCTAAATCGTGTTAGCTGGATAGCTAGCTAATAAATGTACTGAGTCAGAGTAAACGTAGCTAGCTAATACAGCCTGATTGTCACGCCCTGACTCAGGGGACGTTTATTTGTTGAGTCAGGGTGTTTATATTCCGTGTTGTGTTGTTTCTATGGTGTAGTATCTGGTATGTCTATTTCTATGTTGGCCGGGGTGGTTCCCAATCAGAGGCAGCTGTCGCTCGTTGTCTCTGATTGGGGACCATACTTAGGCAGCCTTTTGGCACCTGTTAGTTGTGGGATCTTGTTCCGTATAGGTTTGTTGTGTGTACCTTAAGACTTCACGTATCGTTTGTTTGTTGTTTTGTCGTGTGTTCCTCGGTCCCGTATATCCTGCGCCGGTGCTACGTACTGTATCGCCAGTACGCGTGCACAGCCCCGTACGTCCTGTGCTAATGCCTCACACATATTGTGTGGAAGTAGGCATCCAGCCAGGACGGGTTGTGTCAGCTCTCCGCTCCAGACCTCCAGTCGGGTCCAGCTCCAGTCAGCGGTTCCAGTCCAGACCCAGACATCAGCCCCTCTCCAGGTTCGGGGCTCCCACACCAGGGTCCAGACAGGGCTTGGTACTTCGTGGGAGGAAGGAGAGGGGAAGCAGCGCGCCGAGGTCCAGACCAAACCAGGGGCGCAACAGGGAGGTGGAGAGAAAGTGGTGGTCACGCCCGGAGCCGGATCCGCCTCCGAGGCGGAATGCCCACCCGGCCCCTACCCTGTTATGTTTATGTGGCGCGGTCGGAGTCCACACCTTTGGGGGGGGGGGGTACTGTCACGCCCTGACTCAAGGGACGTTTATTTGTTGAGTCAGGGTGTGTATATTCCGTGTTGTGTTGTTTCTATGGTGTAGTATCTGGTATGTCTATTTCTATGTTGGCCGGGGTGGTTCCTAATCAGAGGCAGCTGTCGCTCGTTGTCTCTGATTGGGGACCATACTTAGGCAGCCTTTTGGCACCTGTTAGTTGTGGGATCTTGTTCTGTATAGGTTTGTTGTGTGTACCTTAAGACTTCACGTATCGTTTGTTTGTTGTTTTGTCGTGTGTTTATTCGTTTAAATAAACATGCACGCTTATCACGCTGCGCCTTGGTTCGACCAGTCTTTAAACGATCGTGACACTGATACCAGCGCTGGTGTAGACCTAAATCAGCATGTTGATTGCGCAACAGCATCTTCTAAATCAAAGAGGAATAGGTGAAGCATTAATATGTTGGCTACATGAAGAAACATTTAATGTAGCCAAAGATTATAGGGTCCCCTAGGAAACACTGACTATCACTTTGGTTCCTACCCTGTCACAATAACTCCTCCCTTGCATTTTCATTCGCTGTCATGTCAAACACCACTGTGCTCACTATTATTTATAATTAACTATAGGATTAGAATAAACATTCTATTTCCAAGATTCCAACTGTTCACCCAAGTGTTCTGATCTAAATCGCAAGTCAAATCGCAATTGCAACATTTGGTTAAAAATAAGGCCTCGTTTCTTTGCCATATCGTGCAGCCCTACGTGTCAGTGTGGAATTGATCTCAAATGAGTGCAGGAAATGCAGAAATTGATGGAAATGCAGGTAATTATATTTGGTTGAAGTAGAATTTAACAGTATGAAACAATCAGAATGGAGAAAGACCCATTGAAATCACTTAGAATGTATGTGTTGTTAGGGGGGGTCATATTGTATTTGTGAGTGTTTGGAAATGGGATGACTGTACACTCCCGTCCCTCTCTCTCCTCTTTCCCTCTTGTCTCTCTCTACCCCTCCCCTCTCTCCCCTCTCTCTCACTTTACCCACCCCCTCCTCACTCTGAGTAGAGGTTGCCAAACACCCGTTCTCTCCTCTCGTCTGACTGAGGCAGGGTGAGTTGAGCTAAGTTGAACAGGGACAGGATGCCAAATTGAATCAAAGAAACTGCAATTCAAATTAAATTGTTAATGTACCCTGCTGTCTGATGCAATGTAACTTGTCATTTGAATTGAAAAAGAGAGAGCGGGTAGAGATAGATGTAATATTCTAATTACTAAAATGTAGGGAGAGAGAGAGCAAGGGAAAAAGAGAAAGGAAATAGTAGTAGTTCAAGCATGAATGCCTTCTCTGTAAGGTTCACCTTTTATTCACACCACACACCAACAATATCTCTTTTTCTCTATCCTCTCTCTCTCACCCACTCTCTATCTCCCCCCCTCTCTCTCTTTCTCTCTGCTCTCTCTCTCTGTCTCTTTCTCTCTCTGCCCGTAGCGATGCTTCAGGGAGGCTCTTGTTTGAAGTGGAGATTCTCTCCCTCAGTCACACCAGCTGCCATTTTACATTTAGCCTACTACACCCCACTTTACAGAGGGAGAGACACTGTCCCTGTCTTTTCCCTCCTTTTCCCACCACCTCCCCATCTTCTTCTTCCTCCCCTTCTTTATCCTCCTCCTCTCCCTCTCTTCCTCTCTTCCTCCCCCTCTCTTCCTTCTCCTCCTCCCTCTCTCTGAGACCTATAGTGTACAGGAGTCACAGCACATTAACACTTTAATGAACTCTCGTTTTCCTACATCCTCATTTTCCCCTAAGTACCCCCTCCCCACGACAGTACCACACACACACACACACACATACTCAAACACACACATACACACACAGACACGTGCGCGCACAAACACGCGCTCACACGCGCTCACACACACACACACACACACACACACACACACACACACACACACAGATCCTGCGCTGTGCCCTGGTAGACCCCAGAGGTATTAGATACTCTGTATGACATTAAAATGTGTTGGAGGGAAGTGTAAAACAAAGGGTTATAAATTACATTTTAATTCCTGTTTTTATTCAGTCCTGCTGTGTAGAGAGGAGAGAGGTGGCTGTTGTTTTGGCGTTTTCTCTTTATTCAGGAACACAAAAGATAATGAATTCATCTGAGGGGAGGGGGAAGGGGGGACTGGAGAGGCTGGTTTTGTTACACGTCCCAGAGGATATCTTCTGCTGGCTGCAAGACAGAGTGGGGGGGGGGGGGGGGGGGGGGATTGTGGGTGAAGGAATTATTAAAGAAAGAAAGGGAGAGCTTGCTGGCTGGGCCAAAGGAATGGACATATCCTTAGAGGGTTCTCTCTCTCTTTCTTTCTCTCTCTCTCTCTCTCTCTCTCTCGCTCTCTCGCTCTCTCTCTCTCTCTCTCTCTCTCTCTCTCTCTCTCCAAATGGTCTTTTGTGACTGCTCTCGGTAGCACTTTATAATAACTCCACATAATAAAGCATTTATAATGGATTAGTAAAAAGTTTATTTATCATTTATTCATCATTACTCCATTCATAAGATGTTTAATATAGGTCCTTATAAACCATTTACTAATCATTAGTTAAGTATTTTTGTGTGGCTTCATCTAAAGTGTGGGCTATTTATACTTTATAAATGTTTTGAGTAACCAGTGTAATTTCTCACACAAATATGGACATTCCATTGGTAGACATTCCAGCAGTACCTGATGCTCCTTAAAAGGGCAATCTGCAGTTGCTTCATACATTTTTGGACTTCTGAATGAATTAAATGTACCAATTGATTCTTGAAGAATATAACTTATAAATGCCTCATGAGCTTAGTTCAACTGTCGTACCCCATCAGAACCCAAAATATAAGCTTGTTTCACTCCAATGTTTGTAAACAAAGTACATGTAAACAAACACTATTTAGCCTTAAAACTATCATTTTGATATCATGGATGGTCAGTCATTGAATCCATAGCTCTGTCTATGATTTTGAGAGTGGTTACATTTCTCCATCCCTATCCCTCAGCTTTTTACTGAAATAGGGGTGGGGAGGAAACTTGGTTATTGTTTCAACTGCTGATTGCCATTTTAAGGTCTCAAAATAGCCTATAACATATCAATGGTAAAATAATAAGCACACAACAAAGGATGTTAAAAGGAAATATATAGAACATTTTATTCACAAAAACTGTTGTGAAACTTACTGTTGTGAGAATTTTTTGCTAATGTTGTCAACCTAGCAGACGCGAACTAATCATAAAACAGGAAGATGTAGCCTACACCGGACTGGACAGTTTTTCTCTAGTGGATTTTTATTCCTTCATTATGACTGATATGTGATTGAGGTAGACATTTTTCTTGTATGATTTGCAGGTAGAAATGTTACATGTATAACCTTTAAATGCATCCAGTGCTTCAGTATTTTAACCGCATACTACTTTCACACATGGCTTTGTTTGGCAGCACCTTTACTGAGCCTTTAACGGTAGTGACTCTTTAAATGTAATGGGATTGTTCAGCGAAATAATTTATTTAGATATTTGCTTCCTTACCTCGTAGGCAGTTTATGGACTGCTCTTAACCTCTCATGGACATATTCTGCTCGTAAAGCAAAGAATCTGTAGCGACAGGATGGAATGCGTAGGATAGCAAGCAAATCAAATCAAATCAAATTGTATTGGTCGCATACACATATTTAGCAGATGTTATTGTGGGTGTAGCGAAATGCTTGTGTTCCTAGCTCCAACAGTGCAGTAATATTTAACATTACACACAAATCTAAAATAATGGAATTAAGAAATATAGAAATATTAGGATGCGCAATGTCTGAGTCGGAAGTATAAATATATATATATATATACAGTACCATTCAAAAGTTTGGACACACCTACTCATTCAAGGGTTGTCTATATTTTTACTATTTTCTACATTGTAGAATAAATGTGGCCAATAAAAAGAATAGATTAAGATGGGAAGTCTGAGATATGGCTTTTTCTTTGCAACTCTGCCTAGAAGGTCAGCATCCCGGAGTCGCCTCTTCACTGTTGACGTTGAGACTGGTGTTTTGCGGGTACTATTTAATGTAGCTGCCAGTTGAGGACCTGTGAGGCGCCTGTTTCTCAAACTAGACACTCTAATGTATTTGTCCTCTTGCTCAGTTGTGCACTGGGGCCTCCCACTCCTCTTTCTATTCTGGTTAGAGCCAGTTTGCCCTGTTCTGTGAAGGGAGTAGTACACAGCGTAGTATGAGATCTTCAGTTTCTTGGCAATTTCTTGCATAGAAAAGCCTTCATTTCTCAGAACAAGAATAGACTGATGAGTTTCAGAAGAAAGTTCTTTGTTTCTGGCCACTTTGAGCCTGTAATTGTACCCACAATTGCTGATGCTCCAGATACTCAACTAGTCTCAAGAAGGCCAGTTTTATTGCTTCTTTAATCAGCACAACAGTTTTCAGCTGTGCTAACATAATTGCAAAAGGGTTTTCTAATGATCAATTATCTTTTTAAAATGATAAACTTGGATTAGCAAACACAACGTGCCATTGGAACACAGGACTGATGGTTGCTGATAATGGGCCTCTGTATGCCTATGTAGATATTCCATTAAAATCAGCCGTTTCCAGCTACAATAGCCATTTACAACATTAACAATGTCTACACTGTATTTCTGATCAATTTTAGGTTATTTTAATGGACAAAAAAATTGCTTTTCTTTCGAAAACAAGGACATTTCTAAGTGACCCCAACCTTTTGAACGGTAGTGTATATATATGTGTCTATAGACAATATAGACAGTATATGGATAGAATATGTACAGTTGAAGTCGGAAGTTTACATACACCTAAGCCAAATACATTTAAACTCTGTTTTTCACAATTCCTGAAATTTAATCCTAGTACAAATTCCCTGTCTTAGGTCAGTTAGGATCACCACTTTATTTTAAGAATGTGAAATGTCAGAATAATAGTAGAGAGAATGATTTATTTTAGCTTTTATTTCTTTCATCACATTCCCAGTTGGTCAGAAGTTACATACACTCAATTAGTATTTGGTAGCATTGCCTTTAAATTGTTTAACTTTAATTGGTCAAACGTTTCGGGTAGCCTTCCACAAGCTTCCCACAATAAGTTGGGGGAATTTTGGCCCATTCCTCCTGACAGAGCTGGTGTAACTGAGTCAGGTTTGTAAGCCTCCTTGCTCGCACACGCCCAGAAATGTTCTATAGGATTGAGGTCAGGGTTTTGTGATGGCCACTCCAATACCTTGACTTTGTTGTCCTTAAGCCATTTTGCCACAACTTTGGAAGTATGCTTGGGGTCATTGTCCATTTGGAAGACCCATTTGTGACCAAGCTTTAACTTCCTGACTGATGTTTTGAGATGTTGCTTCAATATATCCACATACATTTCCTTCCTCATGATGCCATCTATTTTGTGAAGTCCACCAGTCCCTCCTACAGTTTCCAAGCTGTTTAAAGGCATGGTCAACTTAGTGCATGTAAACTTCTGACCCACTGGAATTGTGATACAGTGAATTATAAGTGAAATAATCTGTCTGTAAACAATTGTTGGAAAAATTACTTGTGTCATGCACAAAGTAGATGTCCTAACCGACTTGCCAAAACTATAGTTTGTTAACAAGAAATTTGTGGAGTGGTTGAAAAACAAGTTTTAATGACTCCAACCTAAGTGTATGTAAACCTCCGACTTCAACTGTATATCTGAAGAATAGTATATGTACAGCAATAGTTAAATAGGATAGGCCTTGACTAGAATACAGTATATACTGTACTGTACTGTACATATTAAGTTTATGAAGGTCTTGGGTAACAATTTTCTTCAAATAACACAATGGCATTTTCGTTTGTTTATAATACCCGAACCACCAAGACATGTGGTCGAATGATGAAAACATCAGTAGCCTAATCATCTTTATAAGCGCCAACTGTGCTTGATAAATTGTGAAAATCAGCACAAAAGCAATAATGGCATTATAATTAATATAAGTGTTGTAATGACAGCAGTCAAAAATAGTCAATTATTGTCAGCTCGTGCTTACATGGTGTGTATCTTCACCCAATGGCATCAGTTGGAGCATGTCCATCAGAGGAGGCTGGTGGGAGGAGCTATAGGAGTAGTGGCTGAAATGGCATAAATGGAACGGTATCAAACACATAAATATATGAAAACCGTTTGACACCATTCCAATCATTCCATTCCAGTCATTACAATGAGCCCGTCCTCCTATAGCTCCTACCACCAGCCTCCTCTAAAGTCCATGTCACATAAACAACAAAAGCTGGTGAGTGTGTTGCTGATGTCGTTTTTAGCTTGAGAAGTAGGGCTGCTCTCTCAGTGGTGACATTTTGTGCTGATAATCGTCCCGTAGCATTGTCACCGGCTTGTTCTGTCCAAACGGTGCCATCCCTTCCTCTCTCCTGTCTCACCGTTTCATTTGGTGGTGAGGTGAGCACCTGCTCAGTACGCACCGTTCTGGCTTTTTTGCACTTCGGCCTCGGAGGTGTAGGTTCAGGCTGAGGCTCAGAATCAGAAGAATAATCACCAGAGATGTCATGATTAATTTCTTCCACACCATCTGAGTCGTTTTCATTCAGATTTTGTAGGAACTTTCATTCAGCATGTGCAACCATTTTGTCTTGGTCTCTTGCCATTGTAAATTAGGCACGCTCTCACTGTGTACTCCAAGTAGGCCAGAGTAGACTGATAAGACTGTTTGGACTGATATAAGGTACATACCATTTTGAGATTAAAATTAGAATAGATCAATACAATAGAATGGGCCGCCCTGTTCTTCATTCACAATTGGTGATAACATAATTATGCGTTGTTCGCTTCCCCCCCGCTCATCAACTCACCCATTCTCCCCCTTTCTCCACCATCATGCTTTACTTCATTTATTTAATCTGTTGTTATATCTGTGAAATTAGTTTCGGAATAGTTTAGGTTCAGTTTCGAGGGTTTTATCGGGGTGATTATCAACTGGGCACGGCACTTTCAACTGTCGGGAAAAGGAGGGGAGCAGGCCTTACTGTCGGGAGAATGGGGGAAACCCATTCAAAAAATGACAAGAAATTACACTGGTCACTCAAAACTACGGCTGTGAAAGTGTACGTGTTAATAATACGATAACGCGTGACATCTAAATCACCGTAAATGTTTTTGACGCCATTAATCACGGAACCTTTTAAGTGCACATGTTTCCGAATGGACCCTTTTAAACACATTACATAACACGGACCACAGCTACAGTCATTGCTTGCGGCTTTACATGAAACCCCTTTACATCGCTGAAGACCATGTGCCTCTAGCCAAAATCATGTCATAGTTATGCCCAATATTACCAGATCTATGTTTTTCTTTCTGCTCCTGAGCCGCTATTTTCTAAATTTGGATGGCACAGGAAGAACAGAAAAGGAATAGGCTACTCAAAGAGATGCTTCAAAGGTAGGCTGCATATGTATGCAAGAGTAGGTGTGTGAGAGAGGATGTGTGTGAGAGCGGGAGTAAGTGGACGATTTCATTAATGGCCTGGTGCCCTAAAATGTGCATACTCCGCCCACCTGTGGCACCGGGCCATGCAAAACGAACTTGCCCAGTTAGAGAGAGAAGTTGTGGGAGGGAGAGTGTGTAGGCCTACAGTTGAAGTCGGAAGTTTACATACACTTAGGTTGGAGTCATTAACACTCGTTTTTCAACCACTCCTCAAATTTCTTGTTAACAAACTATAGTTTTGGCAACTCGGTTAGGACATCTACCTTGTGCATGACACAAGTAATTTTTCCAACAATTGTTTACAGACAGATTATTTCATTTATAATTCACTGTATAACAATTCCAGTGGGTCAGAAGGTTACATACACTAAGTTGCCTGTGCCTTTAAACAGCTTGGAAAATTCCAGAAAATGATGTCATGGCTTTAGAAGCTGCTGATAGGCTAATTGACATCATTTGAGTCAATTGGAGGTGTACCTGTGGATGTATTTCAAGGCCTACCTTCAAACTCAGTGCCTCTTTGCTTGATATCATGGGAAAATCAAAAGAAATCAGCCAAGACCTCAGAAAAGAAATTGTAGACCTCCACAAATCTGGTTAATCCTTGGGAGCAATTTCCAAACACCTGAAGGTACCACGTTCATCTGTACAAATAATAGTACGCAAGTATAAACACCATTGGACCACGCAGCCGTCATACCGCTCAGGAAGGAGATGCGTTCTGTCTCCTAGAGATGAACGTACTTTGGTGTGAAAAGTGCAAATCAATCCCAGAACAACAGCAAAGGACCTTGTGAAGATGCTGGAGGAAACAGGTACAAAAGTATCTATATCCACAGTAAAACGAGTCCTATATCGACATAACCTGAAAGGCCGCTCAGCAAGGAAGAAGCCACTGCTCCAAAACCGCCATAAAAAAGCCAGACTACGGTATGCAACTGCACATGGGGACAAAGATCGTACTTTTTGGAGAAATGTCCTCTGGTCTGATGAAACATAAATAGAACTGTTTGGCCATAATGAACATCGTTATGTTTGGAGGAAAAAAGGGGTAGCTTGCAAGCTGAAGAACACCATCCCAACCTTGAAGCACGGGGGTGGCAGCATCATGCTGTGGGGGTGCTTTGCTGCAGGAGGGACTGGTGCACTTCACAAAATAGATGGCATCTTGAGGAAGGGAAATTATGTGGATATATTTAAGCAACATCTCAAGACAGTCAGGAAGTTAAAGCTTGGTCGCAAATGGGTCTTCCAAATGGAAAATGATCCCAAGCATACTTCCAAAGTTGTGGCAAAATGGCTTAAGGACAACAAAGTCAAGGTATTGGAGTGGCCATCACAAAGCCCTGACCTCAATCCTATAGAAAATGTGTGGGCAGAACTGAAAAAGTGTGTGCGAGCAAGGAGGCCTACAAACCTGACTCAGTTACACCAGCTCTGTCAGGAGGAATGGGCCAAAATTCCCCCAACTTATTGTGGGAAGCTTGTGGAAGGCTACCCGAAACGTTTGACCCAAGTTAAACAATTTAAAGGCAATGCTACCAAAATACTAATTGAGTGTATGTAAACTTCTGACCCACTGGGAATGTGATGAAAGAAATAAAAGCTGAAATAAATAATTCTCTCTAGTATTATTCTGACATTTCACATTCTTAAAATAAAGTTGTGATCCTAACTGACCTAAGACAGGGAATTTTAACTAGGATTAAATGTCAGGAATTGTGAAAAACTGAGTTTAAATGTATTTGGCTAAGGTGTATGTAAACTTCTAACTTCAACTGTATGTGTGTAAAGTTATCTGAACAATAGTGATGGTTACAGTGTTTTCATAACATTGTTGGACACGTTTAAAAGCTCTTTGTTCTTTGTATGCATAGAGCCAGTTCATTTTTCCTATATTCACACACATTTAGAATGCCTGAAACTTTGAATGCTGTGTGTGTGTGTGTGTGTGTGAATGTGTGTGTGAAAGAGAAAAATAGAGAGATCTGGCTACTGTACCGGGAGATTTCCAGCTAACGAAATGCCATCTTCAATAATCTACAAACGGCATGCAGAGACATAAAAGTGGTATCCATGAGTTCATCTGACTGTCAAAAAATGACCGATATCTAGGAATCTCGCAGTATCCCTTTAGTTTATGATTAGTAAATGGTTTATAAGGACCTACAGTATATTAAACATATTATGAATGATCTTATAAATCATTATTCAATACTTAAAAGTTATTTATAAATGTGTGAATAACTAGGTTACTAACATTTACAGATGTGGGAGTAATGATTCATAAATTAATGAATCAACTATTTACTAAAATGCTTTATTACGTGGAGTTATTATAAAGTGTTACCCTGCTCTCTAATAAGTCTGACTTCTCACTCTTGTCTCTCATCTTCTCTTTCCTTAGCCTGTCCCCTCCACTCCTCCATCCCTTCTTCCACCCCACCCCTCCTCACATCCATTTCTCCTCCTCTCCTTTCCTCTGTCCAGGGTCTCTGTCTGTAGCATTCATCCTCCTCCTTCAAAACAGGGAACACTAGTCTCTGTAGTGTCTCCTGCTGTGTATAAGACCGCTCAGACTGTTTCTGTTTCCTCTAGATGCATATATTACACACATATAGACACACGGATAAGAGAGGAGAGGAGAGGAAAGGAGAGGATGGATAGAGGAGAGGAGGAAGAGTCCGTATTAACTGGTAACATCTCAATGTCAATGGACCTGCAAAGCTTTGACTCTGTCTTAAATCACCTTTTTACTGCTCCCTGACTGATTTACACACACACGTATGCACACAGGCACCCACACATACATGCATACACACTCACACACAGGCACACGCACATAAAGCCTTGACTCTAACACTCTGCCATGGCTTTAATGTGCTGAGTCTCATTGATTGAATATTACCTATAGTACATTACCGGTGGTAGAGGAGCCATCCGGTGTCTGTGTTGTGATTGGACCAGAGAGGTCTCATGGGTGTGGCTCTAACTAAGATGACATGAGGGAGTGATGAGGAAGGAGAAGATGGATAGGAGGAGGAACGAGGGAGAAGAATCAGATCCAGGTGTTTTGGTGCGTTTAATTACTCACCTGCGAGGCTTACGAGATGAGCAGACGACAAACACACACACACACACACACACACACACACACACACACACCACAAGACACTCACACACACACACACACGAGACACTCAGGTGGGACTAATTACTAAAACTCCACCACAGAGAATGTTACAGCATGGCTGGCAAACACACACACACACACAGCCCGACTCCGATATCCCAATTCATCACACCGCCGCTCCTCAAGTCCCACCAGCAGAGAGAAAGCGATTGAGGGAGAGAGAGAGAGGAGAGAGAGAGAGAGATATTAGAGGTAGAGAGAATAGAGCGCTGGTCCCTAGAGACTGTGTTGCTGCAGGCAGTGCTACAGGTAACAAACACATCAGTTACACACACCTGTTACTGTATAGAAGGTAGTAGAGAGAGAGAGAGAGAGAGAGAGAGAGAGAGAGAGAGAGAGAGAGAGAGAGAGGGGAAGGGAGGGAGGGATAGAAAGCTCACCACAGTTTCTCTCTTTCACCTCTGTGTGGGAGACGTGGAGAGGGGGAGTAAAAGGGAGGAGGAAGGAGAGAAGCGGAGGGAGGGGTCAGATCAGCGTTTCTCAACTTTTTTATACCAGGAATCAGCAAGCTATGATCCTTCCTCTTTGGAGGAAGTAACTAGTGACTATATAGTGTGCCAGGGAGGGAGGTGGGGGTCTGATTGCCCATTCCAGTCACACAGACACACTCCTTCCCTCCACCTCTGTCAGTGACACCACATTTACTCCTCTCTTCATGCTGGCTGCGTCTCTCCCTCTCCCTCTCTCTCTCTCCGTCTCTCACTCCATCTGTAGTATGTATGAGTGTCATTAGCAGTGGTAATATGATGGATGGCTAAGAGTGGCTTTTCTCTGCCAAGGTGGGACTCCGCGTTAGCACGCCATCATTACCTACCTCACTCATGCACACGCATGCGCACACATACACACACTCATGTGACTGTCCTCCCTGAGGACAGGGTGCTCAAACACCGTAGAGGAGAGAGTGTGAAATCATTCAGGATGGGAATGTTCTAATTATTCACGCTGCATACATGATGTCTGTGATGTATGTGTGTGTGTGTATTTGTCCACACAGTGTGTGTTTGTTTGTGTGTGTGTTTGTACAAGTCTTGAAATTCAAATATGCAAAAATGTCCTGAGCCCAAACGACCAATAGTGAGTCATGTCCTGTCTGTCTGTCTGTCTGTCTGTCTGAGAACCCAACTGTGTATAACTCCTCTCTAAGGGCTGTTAAGTGTGTGTGTGTGTATGTGTGTGCGTTACGTACGAGATAACAGGGATGAGTCAGTCACTTTGCTGTTTTATGACAAGCTGAAATACTTGTTACCTTGAACCTTGAGGAGCTATGTCAACGCTTCTACACTTGTGTGTAGGTGCTGCACCTATGAGTATGAAATTGGGAGAGCGAAATAGAGAGAGATGGTGAGGAGTAGGGTTGCAAAATTCTAGTATTTTTCCCAACATTCTTAAGTTTTCCAGAAATCCAGGTTAGAAGATTCCTGGAACAGGCAGGAAATCCGGAATCCTCCAACCAGGATTACTGGAAAACCTGGGAATTTTGGGAAAGTTAACAGAATTTCTCAATCCTAGTGAGGATAGAATGTAGGGTGGCGACAGACTGACTCTCTGTGTCTCAGAGTCAATTCTCTCTGTGCTGGCCACTGGGTGCTTTGGACTTCAGATTAGATAGTGTTATTGAGACACACTGCTGTTTATGACCTACCTCACCATGATACAGCAGCTCTCCCCTCCCCTCTCATGTCCTCTCCCTCTATATGACAGTAGTGTGTGAGCGTGTGTGACAGGACAGCAGTGATTAACTATAGTGAATAATGTATAACTGCATCCCTCCTTTACCCCCAGTATTCTACTCCACTGGCTCCCACTCCTATATTTAGAGGAGTGTTCCTGTGTTCCATCCAGAGATGCGGCACATCACTCACCTGTTTAGGCTGACCTGCTGGCTTCTCTCAGTCACACCTGTTTAGGCTGGCCTGCTGGCTTCTCTCAGTCACACCTGTTTAGGCTGGCCTGCTGGCTTCTCTCAGTCACACCTGTTTAGGCTGGCCTGCTGGCTTCTCTCAGTCACACCTGTTTAGGCTGGCCTGCTGGCTTCTCTCAGTCACACCTGTTTAGGCTGGCCTGCTGGCTTCTCTCAGTCACACCTGTTTAGGCTGGCCTGCTGGCTTCTCTCAGTCATACCTGTTTAGGCTGGCCTGCTGGCTTCTCTCAGTCACACCTGTTTAGGCTGGCCTGCTGGCTTCTCTCAGTCACACCTGTTTAGGCTGGCCTGCTGGCTTCTCTCAGTCACACCTGTTTAGGCTGGCCTGCTGGCTTCTCTCAGTCACACCTGTTTAGGCTGGCCTGCTGGCTTCTCTCAGTCACACCTGTTTAGGCTGGCCTGCTGGCTTCTCTCAGTCACACCTGTTTAGGCTGGCCTGCTGGCTTCTCTCAGTCACACGTCTGACAGAGAGGATTCTGTTTCCTGGCTGTGTGATGAAGGAAAAGGAGCAGACATGGGTGAACAGGTTCAATTGACATTGTAACAGATTAACAAGGCACAAGGGAGAAACATACTTATACAACAGAACCTGTTTTATCTCTGTTTCAACCTTCAAACATAGAATACACAGCATTGATATCTACAGCCCCATATCTAGAAATAGACTGGGTGAACGAGAAGTGAGGTGTGTGTGTGTATGTGCGTGCGTGCGTGTGCGTGTCGTGTGTGTCTTTTGGGTGAATAAGATATGAGGCAGACTATTTATGTCTTCAGAATAATGATTGTAGTTAGTTTATTGACGCTGACACAACATGAATGTGACATTTGCAGCTTTGCCGCTACCATGTCTGAAGACCCACATAAACTATTACAGCTGACACCCAGGCTTTAGTTCAGCAGGCTAACACAGTCTGGAGACACACAAATGACATGGGTTTGGTTCTTGGTGTGTCATATAAGGTCCCAATTAACCGTCCCAGACAGTCTCCTCTCCTCCCTCTCTCCTGTCTTCCCTCTCTCCTCTCCTCCCTCTCTCCTCCTTTCTCCCTGGGCTGTGTGGTGTCTGCTTTTCTTTGTGCTTTCAATAACCTGCCTAGTCCTGAACTTGACCTCTCTTTCTCTCTCTGATCATCTGATCTTTCATCTGTCTCTTTCTTTCTTACCTTGCCTGATCTCTCACCCTTCCCTCCTTTTCTCTCCAGTCTCTCGTACTTTGCTCCCTCTCTCCTCAAGTGACCTTTAACCTCCTCTCGCTCTGTGTTCCTTCTCACCTCTCTCTCTCGCCTTTTCTTTTCATCTCTGTGCTCGGTACAGCAGTGTAGCAGTCGTGTGGTATTCTGCAGTATTCAAAAGTATTTAACAGTATTCTACAATCTTCTGCAGTATTCAAAAGTATTTAACAGTATTCTACAGTATTCTGAAGTATTCAAAAGTATTTAACAGTATTCTACAGTATTCAAAAGTATTCAACAGTATTCTACAGTCATCTGGTGTTCTCAGGACAGGTGTAACAGCTGGTAGGTACAATAACTAAACGTGTCACTGTGACATTGTTGCTTTATGTTTTGTTGCTTTGGAGCTATGGTGAGATCATGGTGGTGGTGTGTGTGTCTGTGTGCCTGCTTGAGTGAGTGTGAATGTGTGTGTCTACCTGGTTGAGTGAGTGTGTGTGCCTGCTTGCGTGTCTGCGTGTGTGTATGTGTGTGTTTTGGCTGAGTTAGATAGTTTGTTGTTAGAGAATGTTGTTAGAGACCTGCTATACTATACTGAACAAAAATATAAACTCAACATGTAAAGTGAAATAAAAGATCCCAGAAATGTTCCATATGCACACAAAGCTTATTCTCTCAAATGTTGTGCACAAATTGGTTTACATTCCTGTTAGTGAGCATTTCTCCTTTGCCAAGATAATCCATCCACCTGACAGGTGTGGCATATCAGAAGCTGATTAAACAGCATGATCATTACACAGGTGCACCTTGTTCGAGGGACAATAAAAGGCCACTCTAAAATGTGCAGTGTTGTCACACAACACAATGCCACAGATGTCTCAAGTTTTGAGGAAGCGTGCAATTGGCATGCTGAATGCAGGAATGTCCACCAGAGCTGTTGCCAGAGAATTTAATGTAAATGTTTCTACCATAAGCCGCCTCCAACGTCGTTTTAGAGAATTTGGCAGTACGTCCAACCTACCTCACAACCGCAGACCACGTGTAACCACGCCAGCCCAGGACCTCCACATCCGGCTTCTTTACCTGCGGAATCGTCTGAAACCAGCCACCCAGACAGCTGATGAAACTGTGGGTTTGCACAACCGAAGAATTTCTGCACAAACTGTCAGAAACCATCTCAGGGAAGCTCATCTGCGTGCTCGTTGACCTCACCAGGGTCTTGACCTGGCTGCAGTTCGGCATCGTAACCGACTTCAGTGGGCAAATGCTCACCTCCGATGGCCACTGACACGCTGGAGAAGTGTGCTCTTCACGGATGAATCACAGTTTCAACTGTATCAGGCAGATGGCAGACAGCATGTCTGGCGTCGTGTGGGCAAGCCGTTTGCTGATGTCAATGTTGTGAACAGAGTGCCCCATGGTGGCGGTGGGGTTATGGTATTGGCAGGCATAAGCTACGGACAATGAACACAATTGCATTTTATCGATGGCAATTTGAATGCACAGAGATACCGTGATGAGATCCAGAGGCCCATTGTCGTGCCATTCATCCGCCGCCATCACCATACTTTTCAGCATGATAATGCACGGCCCCATGTTGCAAGGATATGTACACAATTCCTGGAAGCTGAAAATGTCCCAGTTCTTCCATGGCCTGCATACTCACCAGACATGTCACCCATTGAGCATGTTTGGAATGCTCTGGATTGACATGTACGAAAGCGTGTTCCAGTTCCCGCCAATATCCAGCAACTTCGTACAGCCATTGAAGAGGAGTGGGACAACATTCCACAGGCCACAATCAACAGCCTGATCAACTCTATGCGAAGGAAATGTGTCATGTGTCTGCATGAGGCAAATGGTGGTCACACCAGATACTGACTGGCTTTCTGATCCACACCCCTACCTTTTTTTTTTAAGGTATCTGTGACCAACAGATTAGGGCCTAATTAATTTATTTCAATTGGCTGATTTCCTTATATGAACTGTAACTCAGTAAAATCTTTGAAATTGTTGCATGTTGCGTTTATATTTTTGTTAATTGTAACTACAGACAGACAGTATAACCTATAACTAATATCAGGGTTAGTTGAACCTCTACCTGTATACTTGTACACCTGGGTGTGTAACGTCACCTGCTGTACACCCTGTTGGGTTACTCACTTAGACTCTGTACCAGAGTCAGAGTACATAGAGAGAGGGGGGGGGGGGGGGGGGGGGGGGGGGGGGGGGGGGGGGGGTAGTTTATTATTCAGAGAGAGCTGAGTGGCTGAATGAGTGTAGCTGCTAATCTCACCCTGAGCCTGATGGCCAGAACCCAGAGGAAGAGAGAGAAAAGAAAAAAGGGGAAGGGAAAAGGGACGAAAAAAGGCGGGCCCCCCCTTTTTTAAAACCCCCCCAGAGGTTTCTTCCTTTTCCTTTTTTCCCCCCTTCCTTTTCTATTTTTTCCCAGTTTTCATTACCCCTTCCCCTTTATAAACCCCCCCACCTTTAACAAAAGGGGGCTTGCCCCCTTCGGGGTTTTCCCCGTTTCCCCTCCCTTATTCTCCCCCTTCTTCTTGGGGGGGTTTGGTTTCCCCCCTTTCACTCCCCCAAAGGACGAAAGGGCCCCCCCACTCCCCAAAAATTTTTTTTCCCCTTTTTCCCCAAAAGTTTTTTCACTTCTGGTACATTTCAAAACAAAACTTTTAAAAAAGCTAACCCCATGGTTGTCTCCAAAGGGCGGGGAAAAAAACAGCTTTTGCAAAGGGGTTTTTGGGGTTTTTGTTTAATTTTGTTTTTTGGGGCCATTTTTAAAAAAGGGTTTTCCCCCCTCTCCTTTCGAGAGAGAGAGAGAGAGATAGAGAGAGAAAGAGAGAGAGATAGAGTGAAGAGGAAGAATAGGATGCCCACACGAGAGAAACAGAGACAGAGGAGGGGTACATTACCGCAAGAGAAGTGACTGTGCAGGGTTTGGCCTTGCTGTCCTCCCTCCTCCTTTTCTGCCAGTGTGTCTGTGTAGAAGCAGATGATTTCTGGGCATTAAGCTCCTCTTGGCAGCGCCCGGTTTATGGACACACACACACACACACATAGTCAGACACACACACACGACTGTTGGCTTCGCCCCACTTACGGGCATCCAATTTACCGCTTGTTTCCTCCTCCTCTCCTCCTGTCCTCCTCTCCTCTCGTTCTTCAGAGGCACTAAGCCGTGTTCATGTCTCCATCTCTCAGCTCAGACCAGGACAGGACAGGACAGCTGATTCCTACAGTCGAACAGAACAATGTTTCTCAACCTTTCTATACCAGGGACCTAAATGGTTCTTTCTACTTCATGGTTTACATTTAAACTAAAACAGAACTGTCCAAATCAGCTAACCACATAAAGGATTGGTCTGCAACATCCCAGGGACGTTGAGAAACATTGCAGTATTCAAGGTCATTGTTAATGGCGGTATTGTTATAGTTGTTATGTTTCTTAATTGTGTGATATGTTAATGTTGAGCCACTGTTATAGGACAACATGCTCAATGTCTTCCTCCTCTCTCTCTGAAATCTGTGTTTCTCCCTCAGGGTATCTTAGCCTAGATTAGAAATATCTCAGACTTTCCCCAGAGAAATCCACCAGATGCCAAACACATATGCACACGCGCACGTACGCAAGCACAAAGGCAGGCAGGCACGCGCACACACACTCATACACACGCTGGGGTGGTGCAACACTTACAAACATATGGCAACATTATCAGACAGATAAACAGCTAAACAGTCTGGTAGAAATTAAGAATAATCCACTAGAAATAAAGGATATCTAGCAGAAGCTACTTTCACGCCCTGAAAGAGAGAGTTAGTAGCCAGAAAAATGAGAATGAAAAAGAGAAAGGAGAGAGGGGGGTGGGGGTGTGCTGGGTTGGAGCTGAGGTTAGCATTAGTGTTCTTTCTCCACTCCCCCTCTCTCGCTGTCTCTCTCGCTCTCTCTCTGTCTCTCTCTCCCTCTTCTCTCTCCATCCATTCTGCAGCAGAGTGATCATAATAGCAGACATTGGAGTGACTCATTCAGTACAGTACAACTCCAGCATGTTTCATTCTGATAAAGAATATTGTCAGTGTGAGTGTGAGTGTGTTTGTGTGTGTGTGAGAGTTCTTTGTAGGAATGCAGAGGGTACCAAGGTGACATCGTCACAGAACCCCCTTTCATCCTCAAAAGAGTCAGAGTTAATCTTATCAAAAACTCTAAATCTTAAGCTGATATTGAAAAAATGTTTTATTAGCAAGTCTTCAAAACCTATTTCTACATCTAGCTAAGGTGTTTTGTGGTGGTAGGATCCCTATGAAATTCGAAATGTGCCACTAGTGTCTGCTTGCTGGCTGAACCAGTCTCAAATCAATCCATATGAAACTAAAGGAAGGGATGCTAAGGACACCAGTTCACCCAGTCAATGCTGAATACTCCCTCTAGCTAGCTAGCTAGTGCAGTGAAGTTCTAGCTAATGCACCAATTAGTTTTCATGATATCTCTTCTGCCATGATTAGTGCGCCAAGTTCTACAGCACAGCTGACTGCTCTCTACGACGTTATTGCGTTGGCCAAATGTTACAAAGTAGCGAGGCAGAGTGCCAGCTGTCAGATACATGCTGATTTCTGAGAACAGCCATGACTTTGGTGCCTTATAACTTCATCAACAAAATGTCAAACTAACTACCGTATGGCCATTCAAACAAGCTTGCACTAGGCTGATAGCTGGAGCATGGTTTGCCGTAGTAGCCAGTGCGTCATAGCCACAGAGAGCTGAGTAATCTTCAGAATTAGGAACTAGTGTCAGGCGGATGAGCAGAATCTGGAATTTTTTAGATGAGTTCCACGTCCTTCAAGACAGAAGGACGAGCGTCACGTAGGAGGGACGTGCTCTGACGTAAGACAATGGGACTTTGCCGTTATGGACAACTATCAACTCACAGGAGACAAATGGGCACTGGAGGGCACTAGGGTTATTAGTTGGATAGAGGACTGTAGAGGTGAAGAGGAAGGAAGAAGAGGGGAGGGAGGAAGAAGGGATGGCTAATCTCCCTGTCTCCTCTAAAGTCTTCGAAGTCTCCCTGGGACAGGATAGGATCAATGTGCAGAAAAATTATAATAAATGTACTAACCATCTCTCTCTCCGTTCCTTTCCCTCTTTCCCTCTCGTACCCCTTCTCTCTCTCTGTCCCCAGCTATCTGTAAGTGTGTGTGGGATGTCGTGTCTGGGCTAGAGCCCTTCCCTCTCCCATGAGCCTGTGTGCCCACACACACACACGGCGCCCCCACACACACACAGACACACGGCGCTGACGTTGTGAAGTGGACCCTCGGAGACAGACCGGAGCAGAACCGGATCAAACCGGCCGGCGGGCCGGCGGGGCGGAACCTGAGGATGTCAACAGAGGCGGAACTACAGCCAGCTGTCAGGCCCAGCGTCAGGAGAGACTCCAGGAGGAAAGGTAATACTGCTTCATAAAGGCTTCATAATGCCTTTATAATGCCTTTATAATGCCTTCATACTGACCTGTTAAGTGTTACAGTGCTGTCATTTGAATGTTTAGCAAAAGCAGGTGTTAAGCTGTAGGTAACAGGTGTGTGGGTACAAGTGTCGGGGCAGAGGTGATGCCAGTATGTGTGTGTTGATCTCTCTCAGCGCCAGCCAGGTGGCACTGACCCGAACACCTGGAGAGGTCCATACCCATGTGTCCAAACCCCCAGACCCAGCCCAACTGTCACACAATGATTCACTAAACAGTGGGCACTCTGTTACTGACACAATGGCTTAAAACTTTATGGATGTGAACATTATGGATGTCCCCCCCCCCCCCAACTGTATTCCACCCAGAGCCAATCAGGCTGCTGTGGACCCTGTAGAAAGCCTGTTAGGGGATCAGTACTCTCCCTAGGGGGATGTGGAAATCTGTTGGGTTTCCCTATTTTCCTCCCGTGTGTGTGTGCGTGTTCAAGTGTGCGTGTGTTCTCCTATCTCATGCTCTGCTTGGCAAGCTTCATGTATTTTGAGGTTTCAGACCCAGTCTGCTGCTCCATATAGAATACTTACCCAGAAACCCATTATACACACTTAAAGGTACTTAAAGCGAAAACAAGTTTATAGAAATGTTTGCTAATGTATAAGAAAAAAAAAAATATACCTTATTTACATAAGTATTCAGACCCTTTGCTAGGAGACTCGAAATTGAGCTCAGGTGCATCCTGTTTCCTTTGATCATCTTTGAGATGTTTCTACAACTTCAATTGATTGGTTGGACATGATTTGGAAAGGCACACACCGGTCTATATAAGGTCCCACAGTTGACAGTGAAGTCGAAGAAATGGTCCGTAGAGCTCTGAGACAGCATTGTGTCGAGGCACAGATCTGGGGAAGGGTAGAAAAACATTTCTGCAGCATTGAAGGTCCCCAAGAACAAAGGGCCTTGGTCAGGGAGGTGACCAAGAACCCGATGGTCACTCTGACAGAGCTCCAGAGTTCCTCTGTGGAGATGGGAGAACCTTCCAGAAGGACAACCATCTCTGCAGCACTCCACAAATCCACTCCTCAGTAAAAGGCACATGACAACACGCTTGGAGTTTGCCAAAAGGCATCTAAAGGACTCTCAGACCAAGAGAAACAAGATTCTCTGGTCTGATGAAACCAAGATCGAACTCTTTGGCCTGAATGTCAAGCGTCACGTCTGGAGGAAACCTGGCACCATCCCTACGGTGAAGCATGGTGGTGGCAGCATCATGCTGTGGCGATGTTTTCCAGCGGCAGGAACTGGGAGACTAGTCAGGATCGAGGGAAAGATGAACGGAGAAAAGTACAGAGAGATCCTTAATGAGAACCTGCTCCAGAGAGCTCAGGACCTCAGACTGGGGCGAAGGATCACCTTCCAACAGGACAACGATCCTAAGCACACAGCCAAGACAATGCAGGAGTGGCTTCGGGACAGGTTTCTGAATGTCCTTGAGTGGCCCAGCCAGAGCCCGGACTTGAACCCGATCTAACATCTCCGGAGAGACCTGAAAATAGCAGTGCTCCCCATCCAACCTGACAGAGCTTGAGAGGATCTGCAGAGAAGAATGGGAGAAACTTCCCAAATACAGGTATGCCAAGCTTGTAGCGCCATACCCCAGATTCGAGGATGTAATCGCTGCCAAAGGTGCTTCAATAAAGTGCTGAGTAAAGGGGTCTGAATACTTATGTAAATGTGATATTTCTGTTTTTAATTTCTTATAAATTTGCTAAATGTTCGAAAAACCTGTTTTTTCTTTGTCATTATGGGGTATTGTGTGTAGATTGATGAGGGGAAAAAACTATGTAATCAATTTTAGAATAAGGCTGTAACGTAACAAAATGTGGAAAAAGTCAAGGGGTCTGAATACTGTAGATGGTACAATGATTCTATACACAATAAATTGCTTGTTTTGTCACATAAACTGAAATTAGGCAAACATTGTAGAATTTTATCAACCAGGTA